GGGGAGTTGTCAATGGAGGCGTGGTGACCGGGGGAGTAGTCACCGGTGGAGTTGTCACCGGGGGAGTCGTCACGGGGGGAGTGGTCACAGGGGGCGTGGTGACCGGGGGAATGGTGACCGGGGGAGTGGTGACCGGGGGCGTGGTGACAGGGGGAGTCGTCAAGGGCGGAGTAGTGACCGGGGGAGTTGTCACTGGAGGCGTGGTGACTGGGGGAGTCGTCACCGGGGGAGTAGTCACCGGGGGAGTCTTGATTGGGGGAGTTGTCACCGGAGGGGTAGTGACCGGGGGAGTAGTCACCGGTGGAGTCGTCACTGGGGGAGTTGTAACAGGAGGCGTAGTGACCGGGGGGATAGTCACAGGTGGAGTTGTCACCGGGGGAGTTGTCGCCGGGGGAGTTGTCACAGGAGGCGTGGTGACCGGGGGGGTAGTCACAGGGGGAGTCGTCACGGGGGAAGTGGTCACAGGGGGCGTGGTGACGGGGGGATTAGTGACCGGGGGGATGGTAACCGGGGGTGTAGTCACCGGTGGGGTGGGAACCGGGGGTGCGGGCAGGGCCGCCGCGCAGTTGAGCAGAATAGCGATGAGCGTTTGGGGGCAGCCGGTGAAGGCGGGGCAGCAGAGGGGGATCGTGTTGCCGAACTGGCCCAACCCGAAGAAGGGGCAGAGGCCAAAATTGACGAGGCAGATGAAGACTCCAGCTGCAAGGAAGGGAAGCTGGAATTAAGGCTGTGCCCATGCACCAAGATGATGAAGACCAAAAGGAGTCAGCTAGGATCTCAGGCGTGGTAAGAGATGCTGAATTTGTGCGGGAAAGAAAGCTGTATTGCCAGCTTGAACACGTTACGCTACCTTCAGCCAGTACCGATACTCTAACGACGACAGCTGGCGTTTGATTCGCCCGAAAAGCTGACAGTGGTTCAGCAAAGACTTTGGATTCAAGAATGGGCCTAGGGGCGACGAAGAAACGAAAGATTGTGTAAGTGCTGACGAGTTGAGTATGCGGGTGAACGTACTTGCTTGCAACAGGCTGCGCTGGGTCGATGCGTGGGCGATCTCTTGTGAGCTGTTGGAAGCAGACAGCGCTTGGCTCATCTCCAACGCGAGAGCCTGCACATCAGAAAGGAAAACACTCGAACCCAGCGGACAGAAAACGTGCGCCCAAATGAGTAACAGGGAAGAACCTCGCTTGTCAAGCTGTTTCGTACCTGCCAGCAATCAGGAGCTTTCATTCGTGGTTCTTCTGAACGGCTGCTGGGCGGCCATGATCGAATGTGCAAAGTTCCCGCTCAGGCGGGCCAGCTCTTCTCTTTGACTTTTTAAAAGGCGACCGAGGGATATCCTATTCCATTTTCAACATCCGTTCTGACCATTGGTACTCATCCGACAAAGGAAGACATCTTGAACATCTTAGTTTCAATCGAATTGGTGCGAAGCAACTCTCCGGCCGGCTATGGGAACGCTCACCTCATTCGCGAGCGAGGCAAGCAGCAGCAGACCCAGAAAAAGAAACCGGGCCTTGAGCGCCATTCTAGAGCGCGGGCTGCAGAGGGAGGACCGCCGGGATAGCTGCGTCAATCTGGACGGTGCGGCAGGAAGCTCGCAGATAAGCGGAAGCTGAGAAAGCTGCCAAAGGCTTGGGGAGAGTAATACGCCGCTTTCACTCGAAATGTAGCTGATCTTGTAGGACTCTGCAATGCTTTTGTACAGGGCTTGCAGAGCTTGAAGCGCGAGTGAGACCAAGTAGTCGGCCGCAAACTTTCTGATCCAGCAAAGAAATGAGTGCTAAGCTGCATTTCATTCTGACCTGGGCATTCCATCATTGATGCAGGCAAGAGAGGTGCTGGTAAAACACCGAAAGATGATCAGGAGTCCGTAATCATGGCTCTTCACGCGTTGATCGCGCTGCCTCGAGTGCTCGCTTCTAAATGGTGGCTCTTTAGATTCAAGCTCAATGGCGGCCGTGTTTTCAAATCCAACGTTGAGTACAGGATGGATTCGCGTTCTCATCTCTCTCGTTCTGGATACCTCGTCCTCTTTCCTTTGGGCCTCGGAACACAATCGCAGCTTGCTCGGATATCTTGCAAATTATCAAGAAACAGGACCCTTGGAGAGCGGAAACCTTTAAGCGACGCGCAATTTACTAGATGCGGCTAGAGCAACATACACCTCCATTGAACTAACTCACTTCGTCCGTGAAGTTCCTGTCGCAATTTGAAATGGGTTTGGCAGCGAGGCTGCGTGCCGGGGACTCTACCTAAGCGCCACCGTATTACGATGAGGGAAATCAAGTGGCTGGGTGGCTGACAGCTGTCGTGAAAGGATTGTTATCTCTAATCTAGATCACACAAGATACTCGAGGAGACCGGGCGTGCCTTCTCGGTTGCGAGACTCTCTCAGGCCACCATCTTCTGTTCCAAGACGGTTGCAAGCTCTCCATCTGCACGTCACGAGCGGCAGGCAGCCGTGCGGGCTCCCGTGCGCGGGCGTCTTCGTCCCAAGGTTGGACGGCACTTCGCTTTAAAGGCACACGGCGCTCGTTGCAAAGATCTGGGTGCCTGCGAATTGAAGCTTAGGACAAGCGCAAAAGTCCGTTCGACCCGAGGGGTACGAGGGACGTCACCATCCTTCTCTTAGACTTGTTCTTCTTGCACAAGCCTGTGGGCAGATCGAAATACCGGCCCAGGAGTTCTCGTCTTTTGAGGCGCAACTCACCAGCTAACGGAGAGCGCCTCCTGAGTTGTTAGCAGGATTCTGAATGCCCTCTTTACGGCCACTCGGTTTGGGCCCTGGACGGCCTAGATCACACAGATAGCCAGGCTTTACCGGTGCGTCAGATGGGCGCAATAGCGTATGAAGCAACGTCAGCCCGTGAGATGGCTGGCACCACTAGGTTTGGGCGGAAAAGACACCGAGAAATGCTTCCCGCTACATCGAGAGGCGTTGTGCAACTCGAAGTTTCCGCTCTCGTTTGCGGTGTAGAATCCAGGAGGCCACACTGCGCGATATCGAGAGCCTCGGAAGGAAGGAACGCTTGTTGTGTCCTAGATCAAGCGTATGCACTATTCAGATACCACTAGACACTGTACAGAGTCCGAGTGGCCGATGAGCGGAGTCGAAGGAGGCTATCCTCGAAGCACGTCCGCCTTTTTAAGTGTGACGAGATGCAAAGCTTAAGCAGGTTCGCTTGTTTCTGTTTGCCGAGAAGCCCTCGGAGACCGTAGAATAGCCTTCAGAATAGCTCGGACTACTGAGAATGTTTGTGTCCGGGGTTCGCTCAACCTCGTAATGAAGAAACGGAATTCCATGAGAACATCCAGGACTTCTCCGCTATGTTTTCTGGCTGACTTTGCACAACTAACTGCGGGGTGGACCTGGTTCAGAACGTTGTGGCCAGGAATGTTACCCATCTGCACGCACAGGTGCACGGGGCTCCTTTTCTAGAAGCCCAGATTACTACCGTCATTCCTTTCTTAATTTATATTGAGAACTCTAAAGTACACGCCGAAGCTGATCTCAACTCCCAGGGCCCCTTCACCCAGTATCGCGCCTTTCTCAACGCTCGCTCATTTCGCAGAGCTGTTTCAGCTGTTACTAGCTTTCTTACACGACAAGCAGACATGGCTGCCTGGGTGTCCGCCCTGGTGGGAGCGCTCCTCCTTGTCACCCTGGGAACGCAGGTCAGTCTGCGGAGCGACCCTTTTTTTTTACACATCTGCTGCATAGATGCTTACTGATCTAGAAATCATCGCTGGAGACTCGGCATTCAGACCCACCTTTGTTGATGCTCTTTGCGGTAAAACGCTGCTACGTTTGTTCCTTCTCCTAAGAATGTCGCTCAGCAAGGCTTTCTTCTAAGAGGCCTACTGATCTTTCTTGTCAATCCTGGAAGAGAAAAAGAGAATTTAGAATCGATGGAGCTCGATCTCTCTTGCAGGCTTCAGCGTCCCGCGCTTTCCCCGAAGTCGCGGCGAACCAGGCGGGCGCGCGCACTCTGTTGCAGGTGCCGACGGCCGCGCCGCCGGAGGGTAAGTGCTGCGACTCCCGCTTGAAAGCGCAAGGCCGAAAGCAAGGTGGAACTTTGGTGTATCAGTCTGTTTCATGTTGGGATCCACTTGCCTCTACGTTTGGAGCTTCTTTTGGAACAACGGGTCTGCGTGAGCGTGACGTCTGGTTTGGAGCCGTCTAAGAAGAGATGCAAAGATTTTGATCTCTGCGTACGACCTCTGACTAAGTTCTCTGATTAAGATCTTCGATCAAGAATCATCGAGATTATGCGGAAAGTGGAAAAATCCAGCATGAAAAGGTTTGTAAGCTTTCTTCACACCGAAAACAGGCCACTTTATCCAGTAAGAGGGCTATGCTAAGAGGGCTCTGAACCTATAGGAAAGCTTTTGCAGACCTGAATTAGAGGGACCGCTTAATCGTGACAGTTCTGATGTATTCAATTATTGGTATGAAATCGTGGTTTCAAAACTCGTTCCCGAGACTTCGTGCGTGCGTCAAAACATAGGCCAGGACGCGCTGATGGAAGTCTTATTCTGGTGGCTGAAGGCTTACCTTGTTTTTTTAAGATTCTTGATTGCGGCTTGTGTCTTCGTGCGTCTCTCTTTACCGCTTAAACCACCCTACACCATCTTGGGTCCAATTGCCGGCTTGAACCTGCTTCTTGTCCCGAATTTTGTAGGCTCGGCTTGTGCCGGCAACCAGATGCTTTGCGCCGTGACGAACATCGGTTCCTTTACGGCGAACGCCTCCCTGCTCGTCTGCTGCACCGGCGTGTGCCCCGCCTCGGGGGACACCCCCAGGGACGTGGCTGCCAGGTATACAATGTCTAGATTTTATATTGAGTTGGGTGTATGTTGAGATATCAACAAACTGAAAACCAAAACCCAAAATTGACATGCTCCGCACCAGTACGCATCCTAGACCCCAAAACCAACCCCACCCGTCACCCGGGCATGATCTAACTCAAACTAGCCGTTAAACTCTTAACATAAAACCGAGACTTTTCTGCCAGGTGCATGGTCAGCACTGGCCCCTCTGCCGCCCCGGGCACGACTCTTAGCGTACCGGTCCCCGTCATCAGCCTCCCGAGCGCCGCACCCGGGCCGGTACCGGTTACTACCGTCACCCTACCGAGCATGGCCCCGGGCGCACCGGTCACGATCATCGTCGTCCCGAGCCTGCCCACCACAGCGCCCAGCCCGGCGGAAACCATTCCGGTCCTTCCGACCACAGCCCCCATTCCGGCGGAAAGCATTCCCGCCCTCCCGACCACAGTCCCC